CCTCACCGTCTCCTTCTCCATCGGAGCGACCCGCGGGACCTCCAACCCCGTCCTCCTCCTCGACCCCCACCCCCACTCCGACCCAGACGCCCCCTCAGCCGGAGATCGTGGCGGTGGACCGAGAGGCGGCCAGCAAAGGTCTGATCGAGTGGCTGAGGCAGAACCCGAGCTACAGCATGGACCTGCCTGCCTTGACTCACGTACGTTCCTCTGAACTCATAGAAGGTGTCAGAAGTTTCACATCTTTCATCTTTCTGCTGCAGCGTTATCAGAACTTCCTGTTTGCCTCCAGCAGAGGGCGCTTCAGCCTCAAACATGACTTCTCTCCTCTCCTCTTCAGTCTGGAGCCAGTTTGTTGCACGGCTTCGTGGAGCGTCCCAAACAGAGACGACATCGCTGCAAAGACCCCACCAAGCTGGACGTCAACTCGCTGACGGGGGAGGAGAGGGTCCCCGTGGTGCACCGAGGCACCGGACGCAGGGTAGATGATAAACAGAGCAAAGTGAAACACTGAAGTTTTAGAGTTTAAAGTACCTGTGACTTCAAAATGTTTTAATACATATGAATGCATTTTTAGGGTACGCCTTTAAATCTGAGTTAGCATAACAGCTGGTTAAGGCTAAAACTAGCAAAACACAACAGCAGGTTAAGGCTAAAACTAGCAAAACACAACAGCAGGTTGAGGTTAAATCCAACAAAACACTAGCTAAAATCTAAGTTAGCATAGCAGCAGGTTAATGCTAAAACTAGCAAAACACTAGCTAAAATCCAAGTTAGCATAACAGCAGGTTAATGCTAAAACTAGCAAAACACTAGCTAAAATCTAAGTTAGCATAACAACAGGTTAATACTAAAACTAGCAAAACACTAGCTAAAATCTAAGTTAGCATAACAGCAGGTGAAGGCTAAAACCACAAAACACCAGCTAAAATCCAAGTTAGCATAACAACAGGTTAATGCTAAAACTAGCAAAACACTAGCTAAAATCTAAGTTAGCATAACAACAGGTAAATGTTAAAACTAGCAAAACACTAGCTAAAATCCAAGTTAGCATAACAGCAGGTTAAAGCTAAAACTAGCTAAACACTTGATGTCACTTCCTGTTTCACTCTGGCTGAGCTAAGTTAAAAAAAATGTCAGTTATGATACAAAGTGGGTTAAATTGTGTTTATTATTCCAACTTTCTTAAATAAAAGATGTTTTCTTTGACTTTTTGTATTTGTAGAGTATGCGTGTCACAGGCTCTTTAAATGTGGAATGGTTGTTTTTGTCTTGCTGCAGCTGGGCGGGGCCATGGCTCCGGCCATCAAAGAGCTCTCCCGGTGGCTGGACGCCAACTCGGAGTACTTTGTGGCGCCGGACTGGGCCGACGTGGTCAAACACTCGGTGAGTCGAGCTAAAACCGGACGTGAGATGAAAAGGAAGGCAACGGTCTAAAGTCTGATCTGGTCCTGCAGGGTTTCCTCCCCGAGGGGAAGTTCTCCCGGATCCTGACGGAACCGGTCAACAGAGACCCGGGTTCCCGACGCCGCGGACGCCGTCCCCGCAGCGAGATGCCCAAGCCCCTCCTCTCCGTGTCGGACTCCGCCTCCTCCGGGCTCGGCCCCCCGCTCTACATGAACGGCGGTCTGATCGGCAGCATGGACTCCATCGTGGCCTTGCAGAACCTCCGCGGCGGCATCCCCGGGATTCCCATCATGGCGGCGGGGTTCGCGCACGGTTTCCCCACTGCGGTGTCGGCGGGCGGCTCTGGGTCCGAGGACGTGAAGAACGGTTTGAGCATGTTGCCCATGATGCTGCACGGCATCCCGCACCCGCACGGCGCCGCCATCTCGCAGCACGCCCTGTTCAGCGTCGGCACCATGATGGCGCACGCTCCTCCCCCTCACCCTGGCTCCGCCTCCGCTTCACCCTCCTCCTCAGCTTCTCCTCCGGCGTCTGCTGCGAACGTCACCACCACCACGGCGCCGTCCGAGGCCGCCAGCTCATCATCGACGACGCCCGCCGACAGAGAAGCTGCCTCCTCCTCGACAGCGGGCGGAGAGAAGGAGAAAGGAGCGGCGGACAAGTCGGCCATCATCACCTCCGCCAGCCGCTCCCTCCTGAGCTCCGCCCACCTGGGAGCGGCCGCCGGCAGCCATCACACCTTCAACCCGTTCCTGATCCCGGGCGTGTCCCACGGCCTGCTGTACCCACACATGTTCCTGCCGCACGGCAGCATCATGGCGCTGCCCGCCGTGCCCCCCGGCGCCGCCGACGCTGCCGCCTCGCCGGGGAGCCCCAAGAGGAGGAGGAAGAGGGCGCGGGAGGACGAGGAGAAGGCGGCGGCAGGAGACGCGGAGGAAAGCTCCCACCCGGCGGCCTCCTCCTCCTCCTCTACCTCAGCCTCAGAACCGCCTCCGATGGAGGAAACCGGGCCGGGCGACGCCGCGGACGGGCCTTCAGAACCGCAGGAACCAGACTCCAATACCCAGAGCGAAGGAGCGGCGCCTGGAGGCGGAGCGGAGGAGGAGGCGTAGAGGAGGAGGAACTGTCGTCTCGTCTCCTGCCTCCTCCCAGCTGATGTAAAGTTTGTGCCGAGTCTGTACGTCTGCGTCCGTGTAAAAACTTTTAATATGACGGTTAGATTCCTGTTTATATTCCAGAGTCCCGCCCATCCTCCACAGGCCACGCCCACGCCACGCCCACTCCACCGTAAACAGAAAAAACAACTAGTCTGTACTCTCCCCGACCTTCTGCATCCAGACTGATTCAGGAGGAAAACACAGCGAGGAGCAGCGCCCTGAGAAGCATCTTTTTTTTTTTTTTTACGTTCTGACACATTTCACTCCGTTTATTTCTCATCCTACTTGTGCAATATTTAAAAAAAAAAACAGCTCCAACTTAAATTCTGTTAGACTGACACTCCTGGATTTATGTGACACTAAAGCTACGTTTAAAAAGTGCAGCTGAGTCAGACGAAAGCTTCTTTTTTTTAATTTACTGAACTGTGACGTTAACGGTGCTCACTGCAGACCTCCAGAGGACGGTCCTCCCCAAGGCGGTGCATTAGGCCCACTGTGCAGGTGAAAAAAAAAAGAGCAAAAAAATCTCTGAATTTCTGAGATTAATTTCAGAAAATTTCGAGAGAAAAACAAGGAAAATTCTTTTCGGTTGAAAAGTTGCAAATTTGTGAGAAAAAATCAGAAATTTCCATAAATAAAGTCAGAAATTTGCGACATTTAAAGTGTATCTTACCCCACTGTGAAAAGATGACTCCGCCCCAAGGCGAAATTTGAAAAATGCATCAAAGTGGGTAGGGGAGGGGGGGTTAGAGAGCGGAGGTGTGGCCGGGACGAGAGAATGTGGCAGGCAGCTAGCATTAGCATAATTGATGCTACATGGAGAGTGACCACAGTATCACAGATAGTTACATCTCTGAACGTCTGAGGTGGAGGATTTTCACCCCACACCAGCCTCGGACAGAGGAGGAGGAGCGCTCCGACAGCCTGACAGAAAAAAATCAGCTGCGGACATGAAAGCTCCTGCTGCGAAGCAGGAGGAAAGGAGAGAGGAAAAAGTAACTTATTTCTAGCGGCAGAACAGGTTGGAAGATGGCTGTTTGATGTTAGTTATTGTTTTTAAATCATCCTACAGGCTCTGACATGTTAGATAAATTTGAAAATAAGGTTTTTAAAATATCTGTAAGACTTGAAAAAATCTGTAAGATCGCTCTAAATGTCCGTATACCTGCAAAATGATGTCAAATCTTTATAATTTACAGATAATCTGTACAAGTGGCTGCCTGCTGCCTTTCTTTCCCCTCCTCCCCTCCCGCTGTGCAGGACGTACTGCTAGTTTCTCTCTGTGTGTGTGTGTGTGTGTGTGTGTGTGTGTGTGTGTGTGTGTGTGTGTGTGTGTGTGTGTGTGTGTAGAGAGAGAGAGCAGCGCAGCAGTCAGCTCTCRCCACCCGAGGCTGAAGGTCAACAGACGATCATGCTAAGCTTGCTAACTGTTCCACCCTCTGACTGCTGCAGGGGCGTGTCTTAGAGAGAGGCTTTTATACCAGAACACAGCCGCTGTGACGAAACCGTGGAGAGCCGTTAACCAATATGVAAATTAGCCTGCAGTACCACTGCTCTACCCATATGAGCAGCAAAAACACGTTTTTAGACCAAATATTACAGATTTGAACAAATACGCACAAAAAACATCAAAATTAGCACAGAAACAGTACTATATAACATTTTAGACACATTCTAGACTGTTTATCAGCTAAAAAAAGTTAATTTTGGGGTAAGTTACTCTTTAAAGTAAATATTTTCTGACATGGTAAAGTCAGAAATTTACATTTCTTATAACTGGTTCCAGTTTGGAAGTGTCAGAACGAAGACCTCCAGTGAGCGACGAAGATCTCGGCTCGATGACGCCGACAGAACCGCGTCGTTAGAACCCCGACGTTAACGGATTTTAAATTTACCGTTTCTCAGCTCGTGACCCTGCGGTGAGCACCTTTAACCAGCACCGAGAGTGATGACGTCATCAGGCGCACGTTCCTGCCGGCCCCTGTTCATTTATTTTCAGCTTTTAAAGATTTTTTTTATGATTTTAACTCTGAAAGCAGAAGAGACATTTCTAAAAGCAGGAAAACAAAAGTTGAGCACAGAGTGGGAAATCAGATCCACTCAAAGCAAAGAACAATCATGAGTTTAGATTATTTTAGATCATGTTTTTAAATTCAGACACAAAGTCACTTTTCCCGCCACCGCCTGGCCCCGCCCCCCGACCTGCAGCTCTGGTTCCAGTGTAGAGCTGGAGTCGGACCAGCAGGGGGCAGCAGCAGACCTGAGTGGATTTGCTCCAAACTGAATTAAATTAAAGTTGGAGAGGCTCACAGCTTTCTTTCTTTCTTTGTTTTTAACGATGATGAAACAGGAAGTAGAGCGACGTGTTCACTCTAAACATGTAAATGTTTGGCTGTACATTGCTGTTTTTTTAAATAACACTCAGCTTTTTTCTTCTTTCCATTCAGGGGGTGGGGTTTACTGACAAATGAGAGATTTTTTGCTCGAGGCGATCAAACGGACCGTACTGTACAGGAGGAGGATGCTGGTTTTAAAGCGACGGGGCGTTTCCTGACGAAATGTTAACCATTTCTACGTTTTTCTTTGTTTTCACACGAAAACAGGATTTTTGTTTTTGCACAGCGTCTCGATGTAAATCTGTTTCCGTTGTTTGTTTTTTAATTTGTTTTGGGTGGGAGGAAAGAGTTTGTTCGTGCGCATGCATGCGCGCACTTTTTGCGTCGGGACGAGACGGAAACGCAAAACGTGCGCGCATGCATGCGCGCACGTTTTGTGTTTCCGTCTCGTCCCGACAGCTCACACAAACAAAAACAAACATAGTTGTTGCCTTGTCACAACTTAGTGGCTCCATTTAATTTATTATTTCATTTTTTTTTTGCCAAACTTTCACCAAATATTCTTTCTCCTCCAGGTTTCATCATGTATCCTTCAAAGTAAAATGCCTTATTTTTAGCGAGTATATTTTGTATAGCTGGTGTGTAGGATCATGTTTTGTGTTTCGGTCCGGCGCCTCGGTGACGCTCGTTATCAGGTACCGCCGTCCCGTTGGTTCGACCCCCTCCCACCCACGAACAATCAGTCGCTCTTCAAAGCACAAACATTTGCTTCTCGGTGCCTCTGAAGTGACTCCGTTTGTCTTTATTTCTGCGTTTCTGCTTCCATCATGACGCTCAGAAGCAGAGAATTCTGGGAGTTTTTTCAGCCTGCGTCTCCATTAAGAAACATTTTTTATACTTTTTGCGCAGTTTGAATCCTTGGAAGTAGCTTTAAGGTAAGATTTTGTGAGCCGTCAGCGTCTTACCTGCAGCAGAAAGCGGTCGTGGCTCGAAATTCGTCTCTATAAAAAGTTTCTGTTAGAAAATGCAGGTTGAAAAACTCGTTTTCCGCCTTTTCCCGCTATTTTTCTCTCACATTCCTTCACGTCACGAGGCCTTGTCTTTGCTCTGCAGCACTTCGAAATTTAAAAACAACGCGCGCACACGTGTCTGCATCCAAACTGCTTTTTTTTTTTTTTAAATAAAAAATATAATTTCTTTGAAAAAAATAATAAACCCTCTCGCAGCGCCTAAATGACCGTACGGTTTTAGACGGGGACGGAGTGGACGACGCGCATCACTTCCTGTCACGTGTTCTTAGAGTGAAACTTGAAACAAACATGGAGGTGGATTGTGCGACCGGTTCTTTATTATCAGTGTTTTCGTTTTTTATTTCATTGAAGTTTTATTTTGGTAAATGTTCTCCAGAAAAGTCACCTCGACACGTCAGCTCGGATCAGAACCGATGTATTTATTGTACAGTTCTTGTCTTTACATTGTTGTCCCACGACTGAATAATGGCTGTTTTTGTTACTCTGGATCGTCTCCTGAAAAGCATTTTGGTTCACATGGAAATGAAAACATAAGTTATATTTTTTGAAATGTTAACATCACCTGGTTAAATGACTGAAGTTGTGTAGGTCCGCTGAGACATAAATCTCATTTCTACTCGTTTTACTGTCGAGTAAATCCTTCAGCTGCTGAGCTTTTATTTTGTAAAAATCCTAAATTTGCGCCGTAAACCTGACAGAACTGCCTCCAACCAAAGCTCACATTCTGCAGAGCGAGGATTGTTTCAAAAATCTGGAAACTTCAAACAAAAAAATAATAATAAATTAAAGCTAAAACAACTAAAATAAATAAATATTTGTTGGATTATTGAAACTGTAAAATAATCCCGCAGTGCCACAGATTAACTTTAAAAACATCACTACAGAAATAATCCACACAGATGTTTTTATCTTTTTGGTTCTTTAGTCTGTTTTTATTTTTATTTGTAACTATAACTCTGTATTCCCATGTGGACCAATCTGAAGAGTCAAAACATGGTATGTGTGATCTTTTATTGTGCAATAAAAGATGACTTTCAAAATAAAACCTTGTCTTTAGCCGATCATTTGGCACTTTTATTTGAAAATCATCATAACCGTTTTTTATTTGTTAAAAATAAAATGTGAGTATGGGATAAATCTTGTGCCAACAGGAGTAGAATTTGAATTGTTCAGATTCAATCTGAACAATTCAAATTCAATTGCTGTTGGCACAAGATTTATCCCATACTAGAGCTGTTTGTTTCACCCAAAATATAAAATATTTGTCCGTTTTCTTTCCCTCTCTCTCTGCAAAATATCACACGAGCCGATTTATTATAAAAAGTAATATTTACAGGTTTCCAGTCGATACAAATATGTCATTAAAAGCATCAAAATATATACATTTATTATGTAATAAATCACATTTTGTGGCAGAAATAAAGAAATATATATATATATTTATATTTAACAGAACCTTGTTAAAGAAAGACTGATGAGATTTGGTAAAAAATAAACCCACATCTTCTAAGATTTACATGTGCAACATCAGAGAAATGTTCAAAATAATCTCAGTTTAATGTAAAAATAATGTTTTTTTCTTTCTGACTGTTTTAAAGAAATGAACCCAGATTATTGAGGAGCAGCTTCAGGTCTGTTGGGAATAAATAAACGTCTGGATTAAAATCTGGTCAAATAAAAACCGTTCAGGTTGACTGGAAACAGGAAGTGGGACGTGTCTGCTTGAACACGTGTTGCGGACCCGGTTCAGGGTTCTCCGGGTTCTGCGGTTCTGTCTGTGGTGGCGTTGGACGAGACGCTGGCGTTGTTGACGGCGAGCTGTCTTCTCCGTTTCCTCTCCTTCTTCCTGCCGAGCCCTCCGTTTTTATTCTGTTTTCTTTCTGACGGAGAGAAAAAAACAAACGGGACAAATCAGAACCGGACCTTTTGACCCGTTTTAGTCATTTTCATTGACTTGAATAAAAACTGAACGGTAACAAACGTTTCATTCATTCAAAAGTTTTGTCCTCGTCTACCCCGGGTCTCAG